TAATTAATAAAAAATTAATTTAAATATAATATAAATATATAATATAAATAATCTTTAAGTTATAATTTAAAATAATTTTTTATTAAAAAATTAATACTTTTTTTTATATTCGTAGGCAAATTTGCCCGCTTTACAGTTTAAGGGATAATAAATAATATAGAAATATATATCTAATATAATACAAAATATATGATATAATAATAATAATTAATTAATAAAAAATTAATTTAAATATAATATAAATATATAATATAAATAATCTTTAAGTTATAATTTAAAATAATTAATAAAAAAATAAAAAGGATTAATATCACTAATTCAGTTAATAATAATTAAATTCTTATTATAAAGAATTTAGATCTTAATTAAATATAAAATAATATTATTTTTATAAGAATTTTACTATATCTGAATATATAAGCATATATATTAATATATATTAATAACTAATTGATTAATCTATTATTAACATTAATTATACTTAAATATTATAATATATAAATACAAATAAATTTTAAAATCAATAAAAATTTGGATTTAGCTAATAAGTTTATAATAAATACTATTTTATATTATATATTATAAAATTTTTATAATAATAAACAAATGATTAATTAATAATTAGAAATTTAGATAATATTAAATGGATAATACTATTAAAATTATAATAATTATAATTAAATTATACTGTAATTAAAAGATAATAATATGATTAATATAGTATAATATATATAAATGTTTATTTATATATTTGATATATTAACATAATAAATTAATATATTTAATATAGTTATATTTATATTTAATAAATTAAATATAACAAATATGTATAATATATTTTTTTACATAATTAATTCTATATAAATATAAAACCAAAAATATGTAAGATAGCAAACTCAGTATTTTTCTATAATAATTTAAAGGCCTTTAGCTAAATCTAAAAATAGATATATAGAGATAAGTTTTACTAATATGTTATTATCATAATAGCATTAGATAAGATAAAGTTTTAATTTATGTATTAATTTGGTTTTTAAACAATATTAGATCATTAAATTGTATATTTTTTATCAAATTTTTATTAGATAAGGGATTTATTTTATATATTTTTAGTCTAAATTTAGATTATATATATATATATAAAATGTATAATATTAATTTATTAAAATAGTGTGAAAAGTTTGTATTATGATGATTTACTATTCAATCATTATAGCTTCAAATTTTATATATCATATTAAATAGAATAGAATAATGATCAAGATAAATTTTTTAAAATTAATAGATAATGAAAAAATGAAAAACAATATTATTTTGACTATATTAAACAAGATAATATTAAAAAAATGAAAATAGTTAAAATTTATTGGATTTATATAATTTATATGAAAGATTGCTAAAAAAATAGGCTCTAGAAATTTTTTAACAAAATTTTGATTTTTATTGCATTTTAATTTTTGATGTTATTAGATTAAAATATAATAAGATTTAATTTTTAATCAAAAAAAATTCTCAGTCTGATTTTCCTAGAAAACTTCCCATATGTCTATATACAACTATTAATTATAAACAAATCCTTGGTCTTTAATTTACTTATTAGTAAAAATCATATATTATATATATGACAAATTATATCAATTAAAAAAATTCATTAACAAAAAATTTTATAAATATCACAGCCGATAGCAATAAAATTTCGTAAATAATTTAAAACACAATTAACCGATATATTCAAGTTTTCAATATTTTTGTGAATTTTATTTGATATTTAACTTTAAATTTAATATATCATATTAAATTTAATTAATTTTTTTTTTTTCATTTTATATTTGAAACATAACTAACTTATTATAAACCGCAATTAAATTATTATTGAGATTAACTTCTAAAATATCTTTATCTTCATTATTTTGACTTCTCATTATTTTTTTTTTATTTAATTTTTACGTTGTCCTTAGTAAAGAAATAAATGATCCGAACTCATCTTTACCTCATTCCTGCCGATCTAATTTTGTGAAATGAAAATTAAATTAGCCGGCAAAAAAAAAAGAAAAAGAAAGAAATGCTGTTTTTTATTATAGAATATGCTAAATTAAGTAAACCAATATTTCTTATGTCGAATAATTAATATATCAGTTTCAACCGATATTTTTAATCATTCTGAAAACTCTTTTTTTTTTTTAAAAAAAAAAAAAAAATAGTCAACAGAAATAGGAAGTTCAAACAAATTTTCTATATCTATATCTATTCAAAAGATTTTTTTTTTTAATAAAAAAAAAAATAATCAATTACCTTGTCTAGTAGCAAGTATTTGAGAAGATATGAAATTAACCTGGAAATTAAAGGATAAATATGAAGTTTAAGATTTAAAATATATGTAAATAAAATTTCCAAATAATTATAAATCGTACCTCGGTGTTATATTGAGCTAATACACTTCGCTTGATTCGAAGCATTTCTTTAAATGTATCTTCGTTACCATGCTTAACTTCAAATTCACGCCACGTTTGCCAGAATGATGGTACCGTCTAAGACATTAAACGCTAATTAGCGGTGGAACCATTTTAAATTACATTATTAATAAATAAAGACAAACCCTTGGATCGCAAAATTGAGATGCATGGGCATATAACGCTCTTGCTCTATCAATTTCTCCCAATTTACGTTCTAATTCAGCATACTTCAAACACATATCTTTGGCTTCTTTGTCAGGTAAAACTTCAATTGCTCTCTCGTAAATTTCACGAGTATATGTTACACCAAAATTGGCACTAGCTTTGGCGATATAAAAGTTAAACATCTTAAAGAACATGATTTTGATTAATTAAATCAATCTATAATACGACGAACAACAAATTTTGATAAATAAAATAAAGTACGTACCTCAGATCGATCCTCATCAGATACTGATCTAGTTGCACGATCATAAATACGCATCGCGTGTCGTGCTAAGCCATAATCCTCTTCTAATTTACCATACATAAGATATAATGGTTTAGCGTATTTAGGAGGACATTTTTCAAGTGCTTGTTCAAACAGATCTCTAGCGCGTTCTAGCTTGGAACCTCCCTTAGAAATTGACGAAAAATTTTAAAATTTATCTAGATATTTGATAGATAAACGATAAAAAAAGCCTCTATTTTCATACATATCGGTTAATAAACTTTGTTAAGTATACATTCCAAATCTCGAATGCAATGGGATAATTGAATAATTCTACTCCACGCTCATAGACCTAACAAAGTAAATAAATGTGTTACATCAATCTTATTTACGATGATAAATCTTTATCACTTACCTTAAAACTCTCTTCGAAATATTGATTTTCCTCTAAAAAACTCGCATAGTTAATTATTATTTGAGGATTAGCGATTTTCAATTCCAATATTCTGTCGTATACCGCTCTAGTAGACTCTACCGTGCCGATACTTTCTTCAAGATCAACATAGAATGACCATAATTTTATTGATTTAAAAACGCGTAGCTGGACAGGTAAACTCTATAATAAAAGAATCCAAGCTAACATCAGAACATTGATCGTAGTATCATATGAATGTTTATATATACGAACCTCATCACGAAAATCTACATTTGGATTACGAGGGGGAACAGTAGCACGGCCCATAACATCTATGGCTTTATCGTAATTTCTTTTAAGAAGGTTAAATAAATAAATAGATGTAATAAACAATTTAATAAAATTTTAAACCTATACGTACTCAAATCGTAGTTCCATCTCAGCATATTCGCACCATAATGCAGCCAAGTCGTTAACATTCTTAAAATCAACATGTATAGCCTTCTCAAAGATCGTTCGAGCATTCTCGATGTCACCACCTTGCTCGTAAAATTTAGCAAAGTTTACCCATAACCCATGGAATTTTCCCGTGGCTTTCTTTGGGTCAATGGTTCTCATTGCCTTTGTATATGTTTCAACAACCTAAAATTGATAATTATAAGATATGAGAGATATATAATCCATAAAAAATAAGTGATTCATTTTTTTAAAAAAAACCTTAGTATGATTGTCTTTCCACAACGCCACTCTTTTTTCCCATTCATGAACGTTATTTGGATTTTGTCTCAACAAGACGTCATTAACCAGAAAAGGTCTACGATCCATCAATTGCTCGAATCGCATCAGCCTTAAATCTAACTCTAAATCTGATTGCGGATCATCTATTCCATTTTCTGCCCTCTTTGCTGTTTCCTCCATCTTTTTTTCAATGACAGTCTCTTCAGCTTTTGCATAAGTATCAAAGATTTGCGTAAAATCTCTTACAGTCATTACAGTATTAATACCTTCTTCAAATACGTCCCTTGCCTGTAATTATCAATATTTATGATTAAAACTAAAATTGTATAAAATAATAATAATCAATTTAACAAATTACAGACCTTTTCAAAGTACCCTAATTTGATCCAATAATTCGCCAAAGAATTCCACAATCTTCCAACCTGATCTGTAAACCTACGAATTCCACTTCGTATAATAGACTCGACTTTTAAGCTTTTGATTTCATGTGGATTTTCACAAACCAAATCGCAAAGTTCCATCCATAATTGATAGTTGGATTTGCCGGACATTGATTGGAACCGATCGTTATTAACAACCTGAGCAAGTCGTTTGGCAGCTTCATCGTATCGATTAAGTGATAATAACAAATCGATATATTCTTCGACACGGTCTGGTTCCAACTATGATGAGATTCATGCTATATAGTGAGCGAATATCTCTTGCCGAAAATGATTGTATGTCATCTATTGTTGCAGTGGACTATCGCCACAAACCGATAGTCAGTTTTGAAAGTTTTTGCCATAATTCGATGAATAATTGGCAAAACTATGTCCGTAACGTTCATATCGTCGAACCCACCATAATTTATAAACTACTACATACATATCCAATAATTGACCTCCATAATGTATTTTATATTATAGATAAAGAAAACAGTATCTCACCTTAAGATACCTTCGATACAATCGAATCGCCGTTTCACCTCCAATTGATTTAGCAAAATTTAAATATAACTCCCAAATTCTTGGATGTTGTGTGATCGGTAATGCCTTTAATGCTCGATCAAAGGTTCTACGTGTTTTGGTAATTCTACACTGATTCATTAAAAAGCTACAATAGTCTAACCAAATTCGAGGCATCTAGTGAATCGGCAAAAGACTTAGCAAAAATACAGTTCAGCAGATAAAATAAGTTATAATGAACATCTATTTGCCTTATGTAACAAGACTAATGCCCTCTCAAAACAATTATTGACTTTCAAATATTCTTTTTCAAATCTAACGGGATTTAACTCTTGAACGTGTTCTCTACGAAGGTCCAAGTATTTCTTCCATAATTTATAAGAACCAGGTAATTCTTTGAGAGCACGCTCATATACAAAAATTTGTTGTTGTAGTGGTTGTTCAGCTTTATGATCAATATATCGAAGCCATGATTTTAATGTGTAAGGGTTACGTAGAATTTCTTCTTCAAAGGGAATATCAAGCTCTTCCTATTCGAAATAATTTCTATTAGTTGTAAAAAATTAAGATCAACCGTTCGAAAATTTCAAACACCCACAATCAAATAAAACCCTTCGTTTTCATCAGCTTGCATCATAATAAAAGTTAGCGACAATTGCGAAGTGAAAAAAAAACTTTTGATCTTTACCATCACGTGTAGATCGTCAATTAACTGTCTATTTGGGAAATCTGTAAATCTGTTATGATTTACCAAAATTTTACAAATTTTATCGAAATTCTGATAAAAACTAACACTCTTGATGCGATTTTTTAGACCTAAAATAATTGGCACATCATTAATAAGTAAGGCATGTATATGTCTTAGCGTAGCCCATTATCTGAATATGAAGATTCCTGAAGACACAAGGTTAAAAGATATTAATGTATCATAATAGATAATAAAAAATAATTTAATTTATTATATATTGATGAAATCACCCAAGTCTACACAATCGAATGAACCACCTAAGTTCACACATTTTATGAAATGACTCTTTGTAATGATGTTTTTTAAATATAGCAAAAATTCAATCATTTTATAATTATTTTACTTCACATTTTTTAATATGTTCAAATATAATTCCTATAATAATGAAACTTCTAAAAAATATAAATATTAATGTCAAAAAATAAAAAATCCATAGCCTTATATAAATCTAAATAACTTTTATAAAGCTGATTTAAGATATAAATATAAGCTTACTTTTGTTATTATTAAAAAAGCTTTAACTCTTTGAATAAAAAATATATTTCAAGATAGTTTTAATATTAGTAATTATATTCTTAAAATTAAAGCTTTAAAGTTTGTTTTATATAATAATAAAAAAATTTTTTAAAGTATTATTTAGATAGATTAATAAGTTTATAAAAAAATAATCTTAATTAATAAAATATTTATAGAAAAAATAATAAGTATATTATTTTAAAATATTAATATAATGAATAAAAACTTTTATCAAATTATAAAATTATATTTTAAAGATATTATTAATAGTAATAAAATATGTTATTTTTAAAAAATAGAATCTAATTATCATATATTAAATAATTTATTATCTCTTAAAGTGTAGATATAAATAAAGTTCTGAAAATGACTCGCATAAACTTGCATATTTAACTTGCATGAATGTGCATAATTGTAAATTTTAGTTACACATAATAAATAAGTACTTTAAATTAAAGATATGTAGGATAATTTTGACTTGAAAC